GGATTGGTATGAGGAAGGGCGCTCGGACGTCCAAGCCAAGAAGCCAAACAGGTCTGAGGCAACCAGCGTCGCATCTGCCCCTGCTGGCCTCCCTCTCGCCCTCCACACCCGGCCCCTGCAAGGCCCGGACAGCAACGCACAACCCCTTTGCTTTGTCCTCAACCCCTCCTCCCCCAACACACACACACACACACACACACACACACACACACGCACACGCACACGCACACGCACACAAACACCCATTCGCAGGTCAAGAAGCAGCGCCACGCCCTGGGCCGCCTGTTCCGCCAGTTTGGCCTGGACCAGTTCCGCATGAGCCGCTACATTCTGCAGCACAGGCAGGCGCTCTTCACCGCCCACTACAAGAGGGAGGTCATGGCCAAGCTGGGGTACCCGCCATTCTGAGCGCAGCGGCCGCCCCGCGGGCGCGAGGGCGTGCGGCCGCCCGCCGCAGCGGGGGCCGAGGCACACAGGGGGCGGCGGGCCGCTCCGTGTCTGGGGCCGGAGGAGGGAGGAGGGAGGAGGCCGGCGGCGGCCACCGCGGTCGTCGGTCGGTGGCGGCGCGCTTGGCACCTGGGATGCCGGCGGCAACGCGGCGAAGCAGGTTGGCTTGGGCCACAGGATGGGGGGAGGAGAGGGCGGCAGGCACGCGCCGCTGCGAGTGCCGCTTTTGAGTCTGCCGCATCGACGTGCGCAGCCCGAGGCGGCGACTTCGCCGCCATGGCCAAGCCCTGGGCGCCGGGCCGGCTGTTTGGTTCAAAACTTGGAGCCCTTCCTTATTATGAAAATCCTTTCTGGGGCGGGCCGGGGCGCGGCACGACCGATTGGGGCGCGGCGCGCGTGCACAACCGCACCCGCGCCGCGCCGCGCTTCGCCCCGCCCCGCCCCGCCGCGCGTGCCCGGCTGGCGGCGGCGGTTTGAGAATGGCGCCGAGGCTGACGCGGCGAGGACTGCTAATATGTCGGCTCGTTAGGGGCACACGGGCCCTGGCGGCTTATGCACAAACAGCAGCGGCAAACTGCCGGCAGGCCGGCTGACAACGCCGGCTGCGGTGAGCCCCGCACGCGCACCCATGCGTGCCCACATGGCTTGCACCAAGCGAATGGCGGGGCGCCTCGCGCCATGCACAGCATTGCAATGGGGTTTGCGGCATCAAACTCAGGTGTGTGGGTCAGCAGGTTTTTAGCGCAGGCAGGAGGCTGCATCTGGTGGGGCGGGGGCGGAGCACGGTTTTGCTTCTTACTAGGGGGGAACGCACTGCGCTTGATCACGTGCTTCAGCATCTATCGGGCACAGGGACAGCACGGCTTGCGGCTGCTGCCGTGCAATGTGCGGCACCGCCGCGCGCGGATTGACGCCGCCTTCCAGAGTGCCCGTCAGCGCTTCGCGGCTTTGTTGACCCCATCAGCAGGACAAACCTCAACCCTCGGCTGCATTTGGAGCACCAGCTCGGGAGTGCAATCCACGGCGGCGGCGCCTGAGCGCCGCGCCGCTTTCTTGCTTGTAACAAGGCGCTAGCACTGGGCTTCCAGCTTCCCCCCTGGCTTTGAGCGAGCTTGCTAGCGTCCTTTTCCAAAGCAGCAGGATAGCTAAGGAGGGGTGGATGGTGGCCACTGCAAAACTTGCATCGCAAGTAAGGCGCAAACCGCGCCGGGCAGGCAGCCCGGCGGGCACACACCCAAGAGGGCGAATGCCAGCGGCGGCCTGCCGTGCACCTCAGAGACCAAGAGGGGTGAGGGGCAACCGCCCCAGCACTCTGACCGAAGTGATTCCATCTGCAGTAGGTAGGTTCGGGCAAGGGTGGCGAAGTTGCTGGGGCGGCAGACCCTTGCCCCCACAAGAGGGTCCCAAGCAGCTAGCCACGTGCGCCCCCAGCCGAAGGCGGCGTTGGCAAGGGAGAAGGGGCCAGCTGCTGCGGCGGAGCCGGCGCGCAGCGCGCGCACGCTTCCGCCTTTCAATGTGTTGCAGACCCGCCAAAGTGGCGCCCGCCGCGGCCAACACCCAGCCGGCAGCGCCTGTCGGCCCGCGCAGCAGCAAAGCATGGCGCGGCCGCGCGCCCGCATGCCCGGTTGCTGGCGCTTGCCTGGGCCAGCTGCCTGTCTGCAGCCTGCCCGTGTTGCATCTGTCACACCGGCGTGCGCCTGGGGAAGTTTGATTCCTTGAGCATGGGTTACACTAGGTTTTCGAGTGAGGGACCCGTGTCATAAGAGATGGGGGGTCGGAGGGGGGTCGGAGGATGAGGGGGGTGGGGCAGCAACGGGCTCGCATAAAA